TTTTTAAATCGGGCCATTCACCTTTAAACGGAAAGCTTTGCTCTTCAGCATTTTGGAGAGTTCTCTGACAAAAGCCTTTCCCAATATGTATCTCTTCTGGTTGGTTGTCCAGTTATTTTTCCAATTTCCTTGATATAACAAGTGAGTGCTTCTGGGTTTTCTTGCTTGGTAATCCAAACAAGAATTTCAAATGGTATTTCTTGGAGTTTTGTTCTGCCAAAGCTTTCATTATAGCTTGAACATCTTCATTCAGTATCATCGGTTCTTGATCATGTGCTATCTTCTAAAATCTTTGAATGCCAACCTGTTCCTTTGGATCCAGGGACTGTGTATTTCCTTCCTGTGTTCTTTAACCTACTTTCTGGCTGTATTGCCTAATACTGAAACTCGGGGCTTAAATTTACTTTTTTTTTTTAAATTCCTTTAGTGTGAGAAGTGCTAAAGTTTCCCTTTTCTAATATTCCAGGTCTTTGCATACTTCATTATACTTTGTCTTCTTGAGCTGTACTTTGGTTAACAACAAACCCCACTCCAGAGTCTGTTACCAGTGTTCCTTTTTAGCTAGCCTTCAATATTTTCTGTTCTTTTTGTTGTTGTTGTTGTTCAGCTCTTTTAATTCATCATTTTTCTGTTTATTTTGATGATTGTACACTTAAAAGTAAGTTTCAGAGTCTCTTCTTAAGCCTGTTTTAGGATTTTTTTCTGCTTTTTGTTTTGTTTTGTGATGACCTTTTTCTTTTTTCATGCCTGATGTCTGCAATGTAATCTCATAACTCCTCTAAATCAATCATTATTGTTCAATGTATTAAATATATTCTTGATATAAACTCCAAATTAAGGGTGATATACTCAAGGTGCAACAACAAGGAACATCCAGAAATCCACGTTGAATTTAGAAGAGACAGTGACGTGAGGGATATCATTGCTGTTGTCAGGTGGATCCTGCCTGGAGGCAGACAATACCAGAAAGATGCTTATTTGTGTTCCTCTGCATAGGCCCAGTAGCAGTTGTTCAAACAGAACAAGGGAACACTGCTGGTTTAAAGATCAAGAAAGGTGTATGTTGGAGTAATAACCTTTCTCAATACCTATTAGATCTTTATGCTGAGCAAATCATGCAAGAAGCTGTAGTATATGAAGAGAACGTGGTATCAGGTTTGGAGGAAGATTCATCAACAACCTGCATTATGCAAATGACACAATCTTATTTGTAGAAATTGAAGAAGCCTTGAAACATTTACTGCAGAAGATTAAAACCTGTAATCTTCAATATGGGTTATACTTCAACATCAAAACAACAAAAAACCTCATAACTAAACCAGGAGGCATCATCATGATAGGTGGAGAAAAGATTGAAGTTGTCAACAATTTCCTTTTACTTAGATCCACAGTTAAGACTCATGGTTGCAGCAGTCAAGAAATCAAAAGCTGTGTTGCCTTTAGGAAATCTGCTATTAAAGATCTCTCCAAAATTCTAAAGAGCAAGGATATAATTTAAAGATAAGGTACACATAATCCAAGCTATAAATTGGACAATGAATAAAGAAGACATTAGAAGAATTGATACATTTGGATTGTATTGTTGTTGAAGAATATTGAATATCCCATAGACTGGCCAAAAATCCAAATTTATAGTGAGAGAAGTGCAACCAGATTGCTCCTTAGAGGCAAAGATGGTGAAACTTCATCTCACTTACTGAGTGTATTTTCAAGAGGAGTCAAGCCTTCAAGAGAGGCATCCCTCTGGGAAAGGTGAAGGGTTAAAGAAAGACCCTCAAGATGGATTGACATGATAATTACCACAATGGGCCTGAGCATGACAGAGATTATGAGAATGGTGCAAGATGAGACATGGTTCAGATTTGTTGTTCATAGAGTCACTATGAGTCATAGTTGACTCTGTGGCATCTAACAACAATATACAAAAAGTTGCACTTTGGTTGTCATGAATTTTTGAAATGTTCTACAGTTTCAACTTGAACTGGCATATTCAACTTGAGCTGTTGGTGCTCTCTTTAACAGTAAGCCCTTAGACTCGTTTTTATTGTATATTGGACTTCTTCATTGTCTTTCCATGGATGTAGTTGATTTGGATCATATGTGCTAAATTCTGCATAGTTACTATTTAGACTGGATTGTTTTCTTGGTTGGTTGTTTAGTTTGTTGGTTTTGTTGTGTGTTTTTTTTTTTTGAAAGAGGGAAGATATTTGCAATGAATTAAGTCATTAGTTAGTCTTAACCATATTCTGTTATATTATTTCTAACATTGTTAACATCATTTCTGTCCCTAAGGTGATATTGTCTTACTACTAAACCTTTCTAGTTTCTGATTTTCACATTCTAATCACTAGTAATTATCAGTGTAATTTGACTTTGTGTTTGATTAATTTTGAATGACAGAAGTAGGTGAAAATCTTCAATTTATTCTTCTTTTGACATTAATAGTTGGTGTATAAACTTTAATAATAGTTGTATTACCTTATATACTAGTAGATGCGGAGATATTTTCCTATCACTGACAACATTGTACTTTATAATAAAATTTAAATTTGTCTTTTTGGCAGTGAGTATGATGCTAGTCCTCTTCAATTTGTCATTCCTGACATAATAGACCATATGGGTTTTTTAAATTAAAAAATAATAAATACCAGACAATAAATAGAAAGGTATTCATATGAATTTCAAACAAATTATATTCTAATCTTTAAAACTATATTGATAACTGTGTTAAAAAACAAAATAAAATATATACCCAAATCTCTGCTCAAGTATATCTATGCCTTCTGAATCTCTGTGTATGCTGCCATATTATCATTGAAGGAAATTAAATTGTGCTGTCAGAATTTTCTCTTTCACAAAGCCACACTGATTGCTGCACAGCGCAGAGCATTACAAGTCATCACCAGTGATTGCTTATTTAGTGTGATGGTTTGCCCTGCTATTTCACATGATGTTGCAGTTAATTTGAGTAGTACTTAATAACCAGGATTTCCCTTTTCATCCATAAAAGAAGAAAGTGATGGATTGATATTTTAATATAAACACAGCTTTCAAGTTGCTCCCTCCTCATTTTGTACATTTGACTGGATCTTTCTCTTTTTTTGCTTTGCAAAAGAGACTGGATATATTTACATCTCACAGGTATTATTACATCACTAGGTATTTTATGTATCCCATATAGCCTACCTTTTTATAAATCTTGCACCATAATAAATAGAAGTAACCTTTTGCTCAGCTCAGTCTTGGTAGTTGAACTCAGAGCTGACCCTCCAGTGGGTTTTCAGAGGCAGTAAGTCACAGGAGAGGAAATTGCTTATCATCTTCCACAGAGCAGTTGGTGGATTCCAACTACATACCTTTGGGTTGCAGCACATTTCTTGACCATTAAGCCACCAGAGCTTCCTTACGAAAATCTACTAACCCTTAAATATATTATTTTGAAAAATACTTGCTATCCATATAAAGGCCAAAAATATCAGAAGTCTTCAGTCTTCTGGGAAGTCTTCCATATTCTTGGAAGTATTCAAGACATTTGTGAGATAACTTTTGTAAGAACTAGCTAACACAGAAGAATTCCATAAAACAACTTATGATCAAGAGGCAATGGTGATGAAGGAGGAAGGTCAAGCTTGTCTGAAGGAACTAGCAAAAAAAAAAAAAGACATAATTCAACAAACAGATGCAGCCCTGATTTTACATACAAGACTGTGTCAAGAAATCTGGAGGACAACTACCCGGCCAAATGATTCGAAAGATCCATATTGTTTCCATTACAAAAAAATTAATCCAACAGACTGGGAATTAGGCAATAATATCACTAATATCACATTGTGGTCTTCAACATAGATTGAAGCTCAATATTATAAAGACAAAGATTCTCAACACTGGACCAACTGGCGTGTTGTCAAGAGGGCCCAGTATGGAAAAGCACACCATGCTTTGTTGTTGTTGCTATGTGCTGTCAAGTCACTTGCGACTCACAGCAACTGTATGTAGAGTACTCTGAACCTTGCTCTATCCTGAGCCAACCTTATGTCTCTGATGTGCACACACACACACACACACACACACACACACACACACACCATGACCACAGTCATTGAGTCAGTCCATCTCATTGAAGGTCTTCCTCTCTTACACTGTCCCTCTGCTCTCCCAAGCATGATATCCCTCTCCAAGGACTGGTCACTCCTGGAAACATGCCCAAAGTATGTCAGATAAAGCTTCAGAATCAGTCCTTGCCTTCAAAGAACAACCTGGTTTCACCTTCTCTACAACAACCAGTTTGTTCTAGAAGTCCATGATATATTCAATACTCTTCTCCAGCTCTTAATAGAAAAATACTGTTTGTTATAGTTTATCATAGTTTTTCTTCTAAGCTTTCAGATACATTGTCATTCAAATAATAAATTTGAGAGACAAATAACAAATTTGAGAGATTACACTTAATTGTTTGGAACAAGTCTTTATTTTACCCTTTCCTTTATTCTTTTTGTGATTCAGTTATATTTGCGTTGCTTTGTACAAATACATTGTCTAATTTTAAAAGTGTTGTGCACTCCCTGTTAAAAAACCAAGGATCCCAAGGGAAGAAACCCTGGTAGCATAAGTAAGTTAAGTGTTGAGCTGTTAACCAAAACATCAGCAGTTTGACCTTATTAGACTTCCCAGGAGAAAAAAAGTGAGGTTGTTTGATTCACTTAATAGTCATAGCTTAAGAAAAGCCATGGTGGATCTTCATGAACCACAATCTATTCAATGGCAGTTTAATGAAGGAGAACTGGTTGCCTCATGTTAAGAACCTGCATAATATTTTAAGAGTTATAATTATCTAGAATGGGTTATGAATAAGGTTCATTTCTTACCAATATATGAAATTAACAAAGCATTTTACTATATTATTATAACTAAATATATAGTAATTTTTAAGTAATAGATTATGAAGCCTCTTTTTGTCTTCTACTTGATGATAATACTCTATTTTATTTACCTAATTATAGGCGAAAGGTTCTCAAACTATGACATCATCAGGCACCCAGAAAAAAGTCAAGAGAACGCTGCCAAATCCACCTCCTGAAGAGACGTCCACAGGAACTCAGTCCGCATACAGCACCATGGGAACCGCTTCCAGAAGAAGGATCTGCAGAACCAATACAATGGCCCGAGCCAAGATCCTTCAGGACATAGACAGGGAGCTGGATCTTGTAGAGAGGGAATCAGCCAAACTTAGAAAGAAACAAGCGGAACTTGATGAGGAAGAAAAGGAGATTGATGCCAAACTGCGGTACTTGGAAATGGGTATTAATAGGAGGAAAGAGGCATTATTGAAGGAGAGAGAGAAGAGAGAGCGAGCTTATCTCCAGGGGGTGGCTGAAGATCGGGATTACATGTCTGACAGTGAAGTGAGCACCACCAGACCCACCCGAATAGAAAGTCAGCATGGCATCGAGCGACCTAGGACTGCTCCTCAGACTGAATTCAGCCAGTTTATACCCCCACAAACCCAACCAGAATCTCAGCTAGTACCTCCTACAAGTCCTTATACACAATACCAATATTCTTCCCCCGCTCTTCCTACTCAAGCACCAACTCCATATACCCAGCAATCCCAATTTCAACAACAAACTTTGTACCATCAGCAAGTTTCACCTTATCAGACTCAGCCAACCTTTCAAGCGGTGGCAACAATGTCTTTCACACCCCAAGCTCAGCCTACACCAACCCCACAACCTTCTTATCAGCTACCATCACAGATGATGGTTATACAGCAAAAGCCACGGCAAACCACATTATACTTGGAACCCAAGATAACTTCCAACTATGAGGTGATTAGGAACCAACCTCTGATGATAGCACCTGTTTCTACTGATAACACCTATGCTGTTTCCCACCTTGGCAGTAAATACAATAGCTTAGACTTGAGAATAGGTTTGGAGGAAAGAAGTAGCATGGCCAGCAGCCCAATATCAAGCATATCCGCTGATTCATTCTATGCAGATATTGATCATCACACTCCACGAAATTATGTTTTAATTGATGACATTGGAGAGATAACGAAAGGAACAGCAGCACTGAGCACTGCATTTAGCCTTCATGATAAAGATCTGTCAAAAACAGACCGTCTCTTAAGAACCACAGAGACACGTAGATCCCAAGAAGTGACGGATTTCCTAGCACCCTTACAGACTTCCTCCAGATTGCATAGTTACATAAAAGCAGAGGAAGACCCAATGGAGGATCCTTATGAACTAAAACTTCTGAAACATCAAATAAAGCAAGAATTCCGTAGAGGAGCAGAGAGTTTAGACCATCTTGCTGGACTTTCCCATTATTACCATGCTGATACTAGCTATCGACATTTTCCAAAATCTGAAAAATACAGCATCAGTAGACTCACACTTGAAAAGCAAGCAGCAAAACAACTTCCAGCAGCCATACTCTACCAAAAACAGTCAAAGCATAAGAAATCATTAATAGACCCCAAAATGTCAAAATTTTCACCTATTCAGGAAAGTAGAGATCTTGAACCTGATTATTCCAGCTATATGACTTCTAGCACTTCATCTATTGGTGGTATTTCTTCCAGGGCAAGACTTCTTCAAGATGATATTACTTTTGGCCTCAGAAAGAATATTACAGACCAACAAAAATTTATGGGCTCATCCCTTGGGTCAGGCCTGGGCACCTTAGGAAGTACCATACGGTCAGCTCTACAGGATGAAGCAGATAAGCCGTATAGTAGTGGCAGCAGGTCCAGACCTTCCTCTAGGCCTTCTTCTGTCTATGGGCTTGATTTATCAATTAAAAGAGATTCTTCCAGCTCTTCTCTAAGACTAAAAGCTCAGGAAGCTGAAGCTCTGGATGTGTCCTTTAGTCATGGATCCTCCTCTGGCAGAACTAAGCCTACCAGTTTGCCAATTAGCCAGAGTAGAGGAAGAATACCAATTGTGGCTCAGAACTCTGAAGAAGAAAGTCCGCTGAGTCCTGTTGGCCAGCCAATGGGCATGGCCAGGGCTGCAGCTGGGCCCCTACCACCAATATCTGCAGACACCAGGGATCAATTTGGATCAAGTCACTCACTGCCTGAAGTTCAGCAACATATGAGAGAAGAATCACGGACTCGAGGTTATGACCGTGACATAGCGTTCATCATGGATGACTTCCAGCATGCTATGTCAGACAGTGAAGGTAAATTGGGTATCACCCGACCTTATTATTCTCAAAACCCAAACTTTTCCTTTTTTTGCATGTTTGATTTTGCTTCTCCAAGGATGGATTCTCCTTTTTCTGGTACGTCTTTTGCATGTATACTACAATTTAATCTTTTGTGTATGGAAATTTTTGTCTTGTGTATATAGATTTTGTCGCATGCTTTTCTTTTTAGTTTACATTTTTATTCTGTGTTTTCGTTGTTTGCATGATGTACTTGTCTGCTTTCTAAAACCATTATTAAATCATTCTGTCAATAAAATGTGGACATCTATTAAATTGATAGTTGAGATGTTTTTCATTGTATGTTTCTTTTGGTTTTTCAAATGTATTTGAAATATTATTGGCCAGCTTCTTTTAGCATATGAGATTGTTAAGGGTTTTTTAAATTATTAAATGTTGTTCTGCTAGATTTTTTAATAGAAAACTATTTATGAAACTTCTGTGATATCAGTGATGGTTAATTCAACAAATAGGCTCTTTGAAAGCTCTTGGGAAAATCTTTGATTTTACGGAGACGTAGTATTTTTCAGGAATCCTTGAGTAAAATGGGTCTAGTTTATCTCACATTTTAATGCTGTAATAATCAAGGTTTCACATTTTACATCACATGCTTTTCACCAAGTATATTTTTT